TACGTCTTTTGATTGAATGTGAGCTGTTTTTTTTTTTTGTTTTTTTTAACCCTAGTTTCTATTTTTCCTGTTTTGCAAATGGAAATTGTGTTTCACAGCCAGGGAGAGTTTTGAGCGTGGCATCAACCCCATCATCATTGATAACACCAACATGCAGGGATGGGAGATGAAACCCTACGTGGTTCAGGTCGGTTAGCTTGCAAAGAAGCTAGTAAAACTGTTCTTTTTATTCACAAACAGTCACTGCATTGTGACAAAGAGGTTACGCAAGGTGGGAGAGTTGATTATAACAAAAGCTTATAAATAATGGATTACTTACAACTGTGTCATAAACGTCAGATAATCAGCAGTGTGCTGTCTGCTTTAGGCGCTGAAACACGGCTATAAGGTGTTGTTCAAAGAGCCGGACACTTGGTGGAAATCCAAGCCCAGAGAGCTGGAGAGGTAAGAGACAGTAGGACGTCTGTCATTTAGAACAATGTCAGGGTTTCCTTCAGTGTATTATAAGCCTGGTGGGCCACCAGGCTTTACTTGTGACCCCACCAGGCTTGGCATTGTTAATTTATTAAGTCTTTTTTTTTTTTAAATGATTGCCTTTTTTAAACTTTTTAGTTGGTGTTTAGGTATTAATCCTCAAGTCTTCCTAAAATGCATAACCATCAAATGATGTTTTCAAATTTCCTGTCAACTTTAAACATTTTTTTTTAACTCAAAATCATGGCGGGAGGCTAGATGACTGACCTAGCTCTGAGCTTCAGGCTTAGAAAGTTTTCTGGGGGAAACACTGAATGTTCTGTAATTTTGCTATCTGTGTGTGTGTTAATTTGCAGGCGTACCACCCATAACGTACCTGCTGAAACAATTCGCCGGATGCTGAATGGATACGAGCGCTTTGTCACGGTTCAGTCAATTATGAGCTCACACATGCCTGAGTTTAAACCGTTTCTTCTGCAGGAGAACTGCCACTCGCTGTGAGTAATTATTCAAAATGCTTCAAAATGCTTTGGCTTGAAAGTAATGTGACGTTGAAGTTATATTCTTTCATTGTGGATTGGAACATGAGTTAATAACTTGTTAGTTGTTGTTTCCTCAGAATAATAAGGAACAAGTATTTTGACTTAAGATCTACTTTAGAAAAAAATCACTTTGCACTTATGTCACATTATAGCCACACATTTCAAGACATTTTATGTGACAAGCCTGTTCAATGTAGCATTGCAAAGTGAAAAGGAATTGATGGTTTTAAAAAGATTTAATTGAGCCCAGTCCTTCCTCTTTAGTTCTGGTTTTATGTCTTTTTGTAAGATGAGCACCCACTCCAGTCTTCCAGCATTGGAGTGGAGATGGTGTGTTCAAAATAAAGTGTAAAATTAGTTTTCTGTAAAACAAAGCTTTACATATAGACCTGATATGACATTTCGGTTTCCCATGTGTTTGCTTTGTTCCAATAAATGGCTTGTAGCCAAGCTGCAGGCAGGGTTTCTTATGGCTTTCTTTAAGCTCTGCCATTAAGTCCGAACTCAAATGCATGACAAATATTTTCCCTGTTGGCAAATTCTCCCACCGGAGCTGTGGATCTCCAGAGTCGCCATGGACCCCTTGGCTGCTTCTCTGACAATGGCTCTTCTTGTCCACGCTGTCAGTTTAGGACAGTCATGTCTTGGCAGGCTTATAGTTGGGCCATCCCCTCTTCATTTTCAGATGGGAACTGAGCTCTATGAGAAAGTTCAAACTTTTGGTAATTTTCAAAACCAAATCCTGCTTTGAACTTCTCCACATCTGTTCTCTGACCTGTGTGCTATGTTCCTCAGTCTTTATGATTCTGTTTGTTCACTTGTGTTCTCTAAAATACCCTGAGGCCCTCATGGATCAGTTGGATTTATACTGAGATTAAATTACAGACATATGGACTTTATTTAATGACTAAGATTTATAAGGATAATTGGTCACACATTTATCCAGGATGACCAGAGTAAAAATGATGCAATACAAATGCACAACTTTTTTTCACAAATCACTGTGAAATAGTTTATTACATAAAGTCCCAATAAAATAGATTGAAAACAAATGTGAAAAAGCTTAAAGCTGCACTATGTATATTATGAACAATATGTTTTCTCACATATTTGTTAAAACTGTCATTATGTCTTAAAAGTACAGCTTAAGACACATTTTAAAAAAAAACTGAGCTCCTCTGCCTTCCTTCTGTGGTCCTGTTGCCATTTGCAGAAATGCACAACTCGGTCAGAAATGACCATTCAGAGCCAGGAGGAGGACCTTCGCGCTGTCAATCATGCTCATGCATGCTGCTCACATCCTCCCTCTTGCTCTTTGCTACATTACAACTTCTTTCTGATAGCAGAGCCTGCTACGAATGCTCAGGATCATTAGCATGGCCATCGATGACAGCAGATAAACAATTTTCCTGGAACGTTAAGTTGTTTCCGCACCATATTTAGCACATTGAGCAGCAGGTAGAGGAGCATGAGTGTCAGCACTAAGACCTGCCTCTTGGCTCTGATTGGTTGCTTTCTGTAGATGGCACCGATGATGGTAGCACTGGGAGAAGGTGGAGGAGCTTGATTTTTTTTTTTTTTCACCGATTATTTTTCTCATATTATGACATTATGATTTTAATAAATATGTAAAAAAACAACATCTAGTGTATAAAAGCTACAGACCGCAGCTTTAAGGATTAAGAAGACTAAAGACAGTTTCTTTTAAGCAGATAAATTGTGAATCTCATTTAATCTTTTTAAAACTTGCAGCATATTAATGTACGTTTGTGTTCATACATCAACATCCCATCCTATCTTTTTTGTCTGTTTTTCTGTAGGCCTGTCTCTGCGGACACGGCCTGTCCAGACCTGGTAGATCGGTCCAGACTGAATGAGGAATGTAAAAGTTCCCACCCTCAGCTTTATTCCTCTCTCCCCGACGTGTCGTCCATCAGTGGCTCCGATGATGCTGGAATGCCTGACGAAGCTTCTTGTGAATCCACCGAGTCGCTCGACCTCCAGCTGCTAGGAAAACAATCCAGCAGGCCAGATGCTTTTGATGCAGAGGATATTTATTCGGGTCAAGTGGATTCTGAACTGAACCCCAGTAAAAGAGAAGGGAGAATCCCAGATTGCATTGTGGAATCTGTGATGAATGAAGACCACTCTGATGAAGTTCCTGTGGCGTTCTCTGAATCTATTGCACAAAGAGTGAAGAGGGACAGATCAAAAAGGTCTGGTTTTGACCAGGCAGAGGCTGCGGACCTCGTTAAAGATACCAACTCATCAGACAAGGACACTTCAACAGATGAGCAAGCAGAGGAGGAGACGGTGGTGGGGAAAGGAGAAGAGAAGAGGAACTCTGAGATGCTTCGTTTTGTTGGAGACTGGCCCTCTGAAGAGTCTCTTCAGCAGCGCCCGGTGAAGAGAGGAGAGAGGGGTACAGCGACACAAGGAAAGGAGATGGGCAATGATGAAAAATCAGAGATCGTAACATCAGGCCCGGATATAACTGAGTTCCAGAAGCTTCTTGACCTTATTCAGACCGGTGTGGTCACAGATCAGATGAGTTCATCCTGCTCTCTCTCTCCCAGCTCCGGCGAAGAGATTGAGAAACAGGATGAAGGTGGCAAGGTGGAAGAAGTTAACAAAACCGAAGAGAGGCAGCAAAACCGGAGCAAAGCTGGCTTACCTGACTGCGTCCAGGACTGGAAGGCAAACGACTCACGTAACAGCACAGACTGTTGCGAAGGAGTCGAGAGTGAAAACAAAGCAAATACCAACACAGAAAGGATCTCTGATTCTTCAGAAACTGGGAAAGAACTACTGGAGTCAACAGATGTATGCAGCGATCAAGTTGGAAACAAAGACGCAGATCTGAAAGAAAATCGCAGATCCCAGGGAGCCGAGTCGATTATGAAACACGTTAGTGAGGGTCCTGAAAGTCCGGCGCCTGAGTTATCTGCAGAAGCAGAAAGTTGTGGCAGCACTCAGGAGAAAAAGCAGCGACAGGGTCGGAGATCTGGGAAGCAGTGCAAGTTGGCCCTCACCTTCTCTCACAACTCTTCCATGAATGATTCAGACTGTTCAAATCCTGCAGCTGAAAATACGGACAACAAAAAAAGCACAAACTCTGATGCCAAAGCGATCAGTTCTGATCTGAAACCGGATCTGGACCTGCTCTCCCCGTCCTGCCCTGAGCTACCAACCGCCTTTGCTTCAGTAGAAACGAGCAGCTTCTCTCAGACAGAACCGCAGGACTTCGCTCTTCTCTGGCGTCTCAACCGTTGCCAAGGCTCTGATGGCGCCGTTGTGGTTGCCAGCGGACACTCCGGCGACGTCCGGGTGTTGGAAGGAAACTCGTCTCGTTTTGTGCCGTGGCTATCCTCCACGGCAGCTGCTGCAAACTCATCCAGCCTCATGGAGGTGCCGTACCGGGTGGTGCACGAGAAGGGCACCCAGCTGGAGGAGAAGGAGCTTGGGGTGACTCAGAATCGGCTGGAGAGCTTACGCATCCTCAGCCGCCATTTTAAACTAGTCAGTTTCGATACCTTAGAGGATCTGTATGACAAATGCAGCCAAGACTTGGAATGGACCACCAACCTCCTGCTGGACTCTGGAGAGAGGTTCTTCCGGGATGAAGATTGTGATGACATCCAACCGTCCAGCAGAGCTGAAGCTTTGAGTGAGGTTTCAGATACTGGTGAATGTCTGGAACCAGTAAGGGAGAGTGAGTCTAAAGGAGAACAAACTGGGGCTAAAGAAGCAGCACAGGAGTTGACACGTGAGACAGAAAGGGCGTCAAACGAAGGTAACAAAAACACCAACATACCATTTGGAGGGAAATCGGTTTCAGTTATAGTCGATGAGCAATCAGAACCAGCTTCTGACCAAGAACCAGTTCCTCAGACAGAACCGCCCCCTCCTGAAGCAGTCGAACTAGAGCGCAGCTCAGACGCCGACCTCCTGGTCGCAGAAGCTGATTTCGAAGACGGAGCTTGGGGCGGGAGCGAAGACATCTTAAACTTTAAAACTGAAACCACCGACGATATCGCGAGCATGGATGAGATCAACCGGCTTCTGCAGGCTGAGCTGGAAGAGATGGAAAGAGAACAAAGTCAGAGGAAAGCAGAGAGGCAAAGCCAACATCTGAACATCCAAACCGTGGAGCTGAAACTCTCCACAGAGCTGGCACTGCAGCTAACGGAGCTGTTCGGCCCTGTCGGAGTAGACCCAGGTAATATACATGCAGGGAGCTCGTTCTGCTTACTCTCAGCTGAAATAACCGCAGGATAAGAATACCCGTGACATGCAAAAGCACTCATATCCCATGAAATATGTTGATAATAAAAATATGAAAAATGTGGTGTGCATTTGTACTCTGGTAAACATTCAAGAAGCTCATATTAACTCTGTAGGAGCTGCAGAGATCCACAGCTCAGGTAATAGAATCTGTTGGCAGGACAACTAATATCAGTGCACTCAACAAATTTGTCCCCCATTGAAGAGTGGCAAGAAGAAAGCGATTACTTAAACATGTGGAAGAAGTTTATCTGGTCAGATGAGACCAAGACTGAACTTAAGACCTACATGTGAAACTGACACAGTGCAGCACCTGCAACTAGAGCTGCACAATATTTCAAATTGCAGTTGTCACTGTAGTATCAAAGGAAATGTAATCCGTTATTGTACGTGGAGTACTATCCGTTCACACTCTGCACGCCAAAACTAAAGTTTTCCATTTGGTTGGCTTATGACTGAGCAACCAGATGTGTAATTATCGTTGCTGAGATAAACCTCAAAAAATGGATTGAACTACAGAAAAGAGCCATATGTGTTGTTTCTAGCTGATAAAATCATAAATGCTTTCCTGATATCATTCAACTCGACCTTGAACACAGCATCCCTAAAGTGAAACATGCATATAGACGGAGTTACAGACAATGAAACCTAGTTGCTGTAAAATACTGGAAATTAGCTTCCTATCGGGTTCAGCGACCAAAACAAAAAGAGTTACAATTAAATGGTTTAGAGGAAACCATATTCATGTGTTAGGATAGCCCAGTCAGCACCCAGATCTAAATACCGTTGAGAATCTTTGAAATGTGATTTTCAGAGACACTCCACACCCAGTCTGACTGAGCAGGATCTACTTTGCAAAGATGAATGTCAAAAATATCAGTAAAAGCTGTAAATTTACTGTGGTCAGTCAAAGTTTTAACTCGAGGGGAGATGAATGCAAATGCACACTTTTGTCATAGTTTTAATTCCATAATTATGAAAACCATGTATACTACAACTATGTGCAGCGTTCTGTGTATCTGCCACATTAAACCCCGTTGCATCTTATTGGTTGTCCTTTAGGCACGTGTTCAGCGGATGACTTTGCTGTGCTGATGGATCTCAATCTGGCTAAACTTCTCTACCAAAAGTGGAAAGAAACTATCCAGGTTAGATTAAATCTCGCAGAAAAAAAAAAAAAAAAAAAACACCAGCACTTCTGTCGAGGTCTACCATTGTGCATCTGTTTCCCTTTTAATAAATGTACTTTATTTTTCAGGAAAGACAAAGACAAGCAGCTCTGTCTTTCCAGCTGCTCGAGGAAAGTAAGTAGCAGAAAAATGCAATTATTTTAAAGCAGCAAACAAACTCCAAACACAAAAAATGTACCTGCTAGCCTTTTGCAGGCTTAGTATAGTTTTTTTATGGCTCTTAAATGTGGATTTTTTAAATTGCTTACGTTTTCCACAAGAGCGGACACATCCGGGTAGTTCCCTGACGAGCAAAAATGGCGACATGCCACTGGCCGGCCAGCCAGACGCCAGCGCTCGGATCCCGTTTATGGATCACTGGAACGTCTCCCGTCCACACGTCTCTCTTAGAGACATCATCAAAGAGGAGCAAGCTCTGCAGGCGAACATGCAGAAGGTATCACAACACCACAAAGGCGTTTGTGACATGTGACCCTACGGTTGTTCCTTCTCGTTTCCATTAACTCTCTCTGGCCGCCTTTCTTTCAGACCAGACAGAGTCGCGTTGACCTCCACCGCCGGGATGGAGCTTCGTTGTTGAAAGAGAAGCAACTTTATGAACTTTTCCCCACAATCGACAAGCATTTTCTACAGGACATTTTCAGAGATCACAAGTATGAAAAGACTATGTTCATCCTGTTGTGCAATGGTAACATCATGTAAACTGTTGGCTCTTTCTCTTTAAAAGACATAGTCACTGTTCAGCTGCTTTTACTCTTCATGTTCCTTGCCATTTATTCTCATGTAGGTCTGCAACTGACAATTATTTTAGTAATCAAGTTTTACAATCATAGAGGACAAACAGCATTTCCGGTATTCCACCAAGCTACTGCTGTGTAACTGCTGTGAAGTCATGTGTTTTTTTTTAATGTTTTTTTATTTGCACAGTTACAGTCTGACCCAGACTGAGCTGTTTCTACGCTCTCTTCTCAACGAGGAGGAACCTGTGAAGACGGTTGTTGCAGTGGAAGCTCCTCGGTCGGACCAGCACAGAGCAGCCAGCAAGGAAAGGGAAAAGGTGCAAATTCCTTCTATTCAAAAGCTTTTTATGAGCATCTTTCCCCTTTTTTATTTTGATTTGGCTCTTTAGAGGCTTGTTAGAAAACAAACAAACCCCCTGAAGACAAAAATATACATTTATAGTTATTTGTCTTGGTTTAAGTTATTGAATTTCATTATAAGCTACTTTACACCTATTCATTCCTTAAATTATCCCATAAAAAGCCTCCCTTCTGTTTTTGCTTCATCCACACAGAAGCAGAAGCCGTTGGAGTCTGCTGTTTCCAACTATCAGGATACAGACGATCCAGAGTACGAAGACTTCAGGGCTGAGGCCAACCTTCAGAGGAGGCGCCAGCTTGAGAACTTTGCGAAGGCTGCAGAAGCTTTCAGGCAGGGCCGCAAAGAAGTGGCTTCGTTTTACGCACAGCAGGTAAACGAATATATATATATATATATATATATATATATATATATATATATATATATATATATTTCACAAATGAAAATGTTTGTAATCATTGAACTATCCACCTGAGAGTAACATTTTTATCCAGTTCCTGTTTCTTATCTGCTCTTGCCTTAGGGACACTTGCACGGCCAGCGGATGCGTGAGGCCAATCACAGAGCAGCGGTGCAGATATTTGAAAGAGTCAACTCGTCACTGCTGCCCAGAAACATCCTGGACCTTCATGGGCTGCATGTGAACGAGGCCTTAGAGCACCTGGCTCAGGTCCTGCAGGAAAAAACTGCAGGTTAGACCAGTGTTTTGAAAGCTTGGATGGGATTTCCAGCTGACAGTAGGAAGGAGTAGAAAGCGTGTGACTGATCTGAAATATTGCATTTTTTTTTTCCTTTAGGAAAAACCATTTTAGAAAAGTAAATTTTTGAAAATGTATCATGAAATTTTTACCTTTGAAATAGCACAAAGATTTCAGGAGTAGCAATCTGTACAAAAAGGTACCGAGAGAATTCGAATGATTTATTGCATTTGCATAAAATACGGTTATAAAAAGAATATTTTTAATCATTAAATCTTAATATTAAGTCCCTGCTCTACAGTTTCGACTACGCTGTGGTGCGAGCGTGCTCCTGTTAACTGCATCTTGTGTGTTTTCTTTCTCTTTGGCCTCTTTGTGAACAGAGTGCGAGCAGGGTCTGTGTCAACCTCAGCTCTCTGTCATCACAGGAAGAGGGAACCACAGCCAGGGGGGAGTGGCCCGCATCCGGCCCGCTGTCATAGACTACCTCACCAACAAGCACTACAGGTACGGATGCACGCACACGACACACACACACACGAAATCACGCAAAAGGAAGAGAGACGTTAGTCTTCACCCATAGCTTCTCCCGTGTGTGTTTCTGTCAGGTTCAGCGAGCCAAAGCCAGGCCTCGTGTTGGTCTCTTTGAAGTGAAAAGACCCGCTTTCTGCTGCTGCGAACCAGAACTCTCTTCATCTCTCGCTCTCGTTTTTCAGTGCCGCAGTTTATATAGTGGGTAAAAGCTCAGTAAATATTTGTATTCCTTTGATACAAATACCCCTCTTCGTCAGTCCTGCACCTACTAAAAAGACAAAACGTCATATATTTACTGAAAATACTTTTAATCCTTGTCACCTTATGTGAAGGGACTCCATTGTTGTTGAACAGAAATAAGTTATTTGTCAGTAAAATGGTTTACATTTTACTGACAAATTTTACTGACATTACATTTACATTTTATTATAACATTTTTCTATGGTGTATTTTCTACCTCCTTATATGTTTTAGATGATCGGATTTTGAAGTTTTCAGACTCCACGGAGTCGTGTTTGAACTCTACTGTTCATGTTTTGCCCATCTTTAAATCAGCTATGATGCTTTGTGCATAATGGAGGCTTCCCTTGCAGTGTTGATGCAACACGTTTTTGAGACACAGTTAATGCCTTAAACTTTATGTCCTTTTACATGGTTTTTACAAAGTCGGCGGCTTTAAAGAAGACAGAGCTTTTCCTCTTGATTACAGTCTTACAGACGCCACATGCTGTGTTTTAAGCTTCACAGATCCGGCTCTACGAAACGGATTGAGCAATCTCTGCTGTTGCTTCTGAAGGCAGCTGCCTCCTTAACAGAACGTTTTTATATTTGTGAGAAAGGTTAGCTGCTAACACTCAATCTCAGGTGACCCGGTGTGTCGGCCGTTTCCAGCTCATTCCTTGTAGTTTTTAAAATGTCTTTTGCCAAATGTCATACCAGCTGTCTTCCAGAGGATGCTATTTTTAGTTTTCAAAAGTTAAATTGCCTTCTTATTTTTCTAAAAGCAGTTCACTTTGGTGTTTGTATATATATATATATATATATATATATATATATATATATTACTGTAAGCACACTAAATCTAAAGAAGAATGTATTTTTTAGCCAATGTGTCTATAAAATTTTACAGAGCATGATGTTTGTGAAATAAATCTATTTGTTTAAATGTACTTGTATGTGTTTTCATTTCTGGATGTGTTTGATTGAATTCTTCTTTCAGAGGGTTTCTGTTAAGCAACAGGGCCTTCCACAATTATCGGCACCCCTTGTAAAGATGCGAAATCTTTTACTGCAGTTTGTCACACAAAGTGCAAAAATCGTTAGTCCCATAGCTGTTGGTGGTGCTACCAAATCACTTAAACTACATGTAGTAAATTACTTATTATTTATAAGTACAATGTGACACAGACCCTCTATCCAAGCTGCTCTTTAAAACAGGAAAGACGAGGAAACATGCAATGGTGAAATTCCACTGAAAATATCAAATAAAAATTCACTTAGGCTTAAAAAGTCAAGGCAAAAAAATATTTAAATTTTTTTTTTACCCATGCCAGTCTTGTTGGCTTGGGTACATTTTGTTATTGGCACTCCAAACAAAAAATACCACTGAAGCATTTATAATGTATATATTGTTTTAATCATTGAATTCCTGTTTCCCCTTGGTGTAAGTATAACACAAAGCCAATTTGTCTACTTTTCTAAATGCGAAAGGCAAGAGAACATGCAGCACAGTAGTCTCACACTAAAAGTAGATTTAAAAAAATAATCTTTATCTTAGTTTTGCTTCCAATGGCATGAAGATCGCACGTTAAAAGTTTACAAAACAAAACCCATGCCACTACCATAGGAACCCCTAATTATTATACATGTAACACATGCTTTTCAGTTTGCCTGGATTAAAAATATTGGGTGAAATGGAGGCCCATTTCCCTTAACTACTTTTTAAGACGGGAAAGACGAGAGAAGATGTCAATGGAGTTGGACTGAAAAAGGCTACAATTAAACAGTTACAAAGTTACAGCAAAAGTTAACATTTGCAAAGGTTGTGACAGGCAAAGTTGATTGAGGATCCATGTTAATCTTGGCACCATGCAAGATGTTGAGCACAAAATGAATATACCTCCACAAGGTCACAGTTTGAGATCTTCAGCAAAAAGAGTGACATTATGGAGTCACCAGGTTACTTTAAATCCTTTTTTTATTTTTTGACTTGGCTTAATACAAACCTTTCAATTTGCAAAGTACATTATTAAAGTTCTACATTGAGGTATGTAATTTAAAATGTGACAGATGTCAGGAAAACTGAGGATAGCAAAGACATCTCATTGTGTGCTGCAAGAGCATTATAGCGACTACTGCATGAACTCACAGGAAAATGACACTTCCTAGTGATTTTAACTTGTACATGTAATGTTCACGGTTACTTTTCATACACACTTTAAGTAAAAGTGTTAATTAACTTTAGGACTTGATATTCGGCTTTAATATAAATACAGCGCTCTTTGTGAAGTACCTCAATAATCCAGTAGATGACAGTAATTCACCTTTACACAAACAACAGTAAAGTAACAAATTTAGCAATTTTGTAAATCAGTTTTCTTTTACTTCAATGACAGTTTCACAATCTAATTGTGCTGCAACTTGTCTCCCTCTTTGAAACATATAACTGAGACGAACAATATTAAGGAGAGGAAAAACGGCACCCAGATATGCATTTTCAGTCCTGTTTTGATTGTTTTCTGGACCTTTTACACATAGCGTAAAAGATGCACCAAGTCTATATTACTGGAACAACAAACTATTTATTATGTAGCATTAAAAGGTTGGATGCCATTTATAGAATATAATTTGACATGACAGTGCTTCCCCCCCCCAGTAGTTTACAGCTTCTTCCACTATTAAAATTTACCGCTGGCATTAATAGACGCAGTTTGACCACTAACACTCAGATGGAAACACAGAAGTGGCCTGAAATCAGTAACTCAAACATTTGTTTTTTTTGTTTTTTTACTTTTCTTCACTCACTTTTTCCCCTGGTAAATCAGATATTTTTAAAGTAGGCTTCCTAACACCTGTAAAGTGTGACTCATTGAAGATCCCCATCTGAAATGGAAAATAATGTGGTTTTATTGTAGACTCAAGTCCTCTAGTTTCTCTTATTTATTATATGCTTGCATGCTGGAATAATGAAGACATTTTATTGGAGTCTTAGCCACAACATATTAAATCCCAGAGAAAGAGAAGGAATGCCGTTCCTTTCAAAACTAGGCGATCATGAAAATAGTTTTTATTCCTGCTTAGTTTGTCAGCTCTTGTCTTTATTTATCCTTCAGATATACTCAGAAAGTTTGATGTTTTAGTCTACATGACAAAAAAGAGCAAAGTTGTTTTTGTTTTTTTTTAAAGTTTCATAGAGAAGTGGATCAATGAGATGAGAACACAGGTACGAATACATGTTTGTGTTTGAGTTACTGCTTGAGCGGTTATTGCTATGAGTTTGAGCTGATCCTTTTACTGCCCCACACACAACCAAAGACACACCCAGCCCCCAACAAAACTCATTCTGCAAAAAAACTTTTCCATTCTGTGACTTGGTGGGAACACTAAAATCTAAAACTATTGAGCTGTCAAAATGTAATCTAATGTCTAATCATCTGCTCTTAAACTTTTTAAAACATGTATTGCTTTAGTACCTATCACGTTTTTCAAATATTTCACCATTACGACAGGTATTGTATTTGCAAACAGCTCTGCAGCTTGACTTGAGTTTTTCAGTTTGTTTTGTTGTATCAAAAAAGAAAAAAGAAAAAGTGAAACAAAATCAGTCTAACTGCACTGAAAGACACAGCTCAATTAACTAGTTAGTCTCAGAAAATTTTATTTGTTAGTTTTTATTTAAAAACATTAACAGGACACTTCTTGCTTTCTTGCTGGGAAAGTGAAAGGTTTCAAACCAACACAGGCTCAAAATCCAATATGGCTGCCAGCTTAGTGGCAGCTGCAGTAAAAACAGGAGATTTCCTTGAAGTTGTGATGATTTGTGTTCAGTCTTTTTTAGACACAAAATTATGCAACCATCTTTAGGAAACATGTTGCTACTGTGTGTGTGAAAGTGAAGCATATCAGACACAGACACATTGTACTGCTAATAGTAGTTTGTCTGGTCACTGAGAATTTTTCTGGTCTGGGTTAAACTGGAACTGATCTTTAAGAACCATTGATCTCAACTAATGGATGAATAAAGGGCCTGTTTTTTTTTTCTTTTAGAAGACTTGGAAAGCCCTTATTTGTAGAGAAATTTCTAAAATGAACATACAAATTTGCTGAACAGTAACCTAGTCCTGGTTTGACCTAATGATACAATTAAGCCCAAAATTATTCATACCCTTATCTTTTAGATTTCAATACTTTTCGACCAAGAAGCTTTTATCTGATAGCAAAGTAAATAGATGTCTCTCAGAATATGATAAAAATCAATTTTAAATCGAGTTTGAAACTAGATATCTGTTTCATTTACATTTTAATTTAATGTCAAAAGTTACTTAAACTTTTCTCAATAATCAATACAAAAATCATTATTGGCATTACAGCAATTCAAACCTTATTATCGCCAGGAGATATTTTGCATGTTTTTATTGATATTTCTATTGTTTATCTTTGGTAATAAGTCAGAAGAAACATGTTGATATTAAAAGATTACTTAAAAAAATTGATCTGCCAGGTGTATGAATAATTTCTTATCCGTATGTTTCAAACTTAACTCATACCAAGAAAGCTCTAAAAATGCCCTTTTTTACAGCTCTTGCAAATATAATAATGCAGCAATAAATTTCAGATTTTACTATATTTCTACAGTAATCTCTGTTCAGAGAAACAATCAGTGGCGATCTATCCGCTCTAAAAATGCAGGATGTTGAACACAAAGTAAACTCCTGAAATTAAATGATAAGACATCCGTTTTACTTATGTCTTTGACAAACATGCAGACAAAAAGATAATTTCATATGACATATTTGTAAAAACATTTTAGCTCAGCTAGTCAGTAGTGTGATTTTTGCTTCACTTGCACTGCTGTTTTTGTGTCTAAACATCTTAGTGAGCACCAGCTGTCAGAAGCACACCCAAAAAGATCCAAACTGTGAAGAGAGATTAAAAAAGCAGCCGTATTGTATGAAACACAGCTGCTGTGGGGGAGGCGAGCAGCAGATCTGTCACACCTCCACACTCCAACAAGCGGATGTGTTTTACTTTGCCTTTTCTCGCACTTTCTGTCTTCCCTCCTCTACCTATGACCGACTGTCTTTCAGCGGCTGCTTCTGTATTTTTTACATCTGTGATGGCCTAATTATCTGGCACTTTTCCTTCCTGCGTTGCTGTGAGGTTCAGCTTGTTGTAGCTCAGTTATAACGGATACTTTTGTCGGCGTATAAAGTCAGTCTTTTCAACACGGTGACGTCTCACAGGCAGCAGCCGACATCCGCCCGTTGAAGATTGGGGTGGCTGACAAGGTAGGCCCAAACATCCACTTTTCTTTTGTTGAATTTTTGTTTGATTACCGTCTTTTATACTTGATCTCAATGGAACAATATGTTCTTGATAACTTTGTGGCAACAGGTTTGATGTGTTTTTTTTTTTTTAAATCTGTCAATGAAACTTGTTTCAGTTTGTTGATTTAACTGGAAAAAAAAAGGATTTCATACTAAAAAGGTAAATTGTTTGTTCTAATCCTAATCTTCTCAAACAAAGGTTCACAAATATGAGATCATTGAGCTGAAATGTGGAAAATCCACTGATTAATGTGTCCCATCTGCGCGATGGCAAATCTTTCCATCTCGATGACATGGACGGTGGTTTTGAGGTTTTTTTTTTCTGCTTCACAAAAGTGCACCAATATGGTAAAATCAGCTTAGAAAAATCATAAGCGATCAGAAGAAATGTACATTTCTGTAATACCATAAGGGATCAACCCGTAGGCCAATGGTTTCTGTCCCTACGTCAGATTGCAACAGCCTGATATGAGGCGTAGACAGCAGAATGAACAACGGGAGGTTTTTGTGTAAAAGAGACGCAAACAAAATAGGTGCAGACAGTGAAACACATGAGCTTGATGATGAGGTTCAGAAGATAAGCACCTGTGTACGTTTTCGGGTTCAAACTGTGGATTCTGGGTCACACCTAAGCAAACATGTCTTTACTTCCGTATAAAAATTTCTTATGTTGTCACAGATTATCTAATTTGGAAGAGGTGCTGCTCACACATTCATGGTAGATCGGGCGTTTGCAAATGTTTTTACGTTACGAGAAACTCAAAAAAACCATCAAGTGGTCACTAAAACATTCAACTTTCTGGCTATTGTGAACGTGTTGCATTTTTCCATGTCTCTAACATGTCTTTCCTGTTCCCAGGAGACCATCCCAATTCACCGACAAACATCGGGACCGGGAGATTGATGGTCAGTGAGAGGACCGAAGAGAAATCCCCTGAGCTGACCATGCTGCTACTGAGAGCAAGAGGAAGGAAGTGAGATGAGCCGAGATGGCCTAAAGAACCAAGAGGTTGCGTAAATCATCCGCTTCAGAGGTGCGAGCTGCATACGAGACCTTTGAGACAACATCGATCAGTTCAGTTCACTGAGAGCAACTCTACTTGTTTCATCAGTGAATGTCTGAGCGTAGCCTGTGATGAAAACCGCCAGCAGTGTACGAAAGCACAGCTCACACTTGAGGACCTTACATCCTGCTAGCCTGACAGAAAAACCTTAACCTTTTCTTTGAAGAACCCAAGACAACCCGAGAGGCTTGTTAATCGACGGCAACCATGAACGGCCTGACCGAGCTGTCTGTGAAGTGTGTTCTGGTCGGGGACTGCGCGGTCGGCAAGACGGCTTTGCTGGTCCGCTTCACCTCCGAGACTTTCCCAGATTCGTACAAGCCCACCGTGTTTGAAAACACGGGTGTTGAGGTGTACATGGACGGGGTCCAGATCAGCCTTGGGCTGTGGGACACGGCGGGCAACGACAACTTCAAGCAGATTCGGCCGAGGTCGTACCAGCAGGCCGACGTCGTCCTTATGTGCTACTCAGTGGCCAACCCCAACTCCCTGGCCAGCATCCAGCGCAAGTGGATTGCAGAGGTCCGGGAGAACCTGCCCAGGGTGCCAGTGCTGGTGGTGGCCACTCAGACGGACCTGAGGGAGGTGGGAGTTCATCGGGGCAGCTGCATCTCGCCGGCGGAGGGGAAACGTGTGGCCCATGAGGTGCACGCTAAGGGCTACCTGGAGTGCTCTTCCTTGAGCAACCGTGGCGTGCAGCAGGTGTTTGAGTACGCTGTGAGGACAGTTTTTAACAAGCACAAGAAACGGGAAAGGAGGCGCATGTTCAGCATGAACCAGTGCAAAGTGTTTTGACCTTTGATTTTGATCTTGCTGCCGTTTTTTTTTTTTTTCAGATATGCTGTTCAAACTCAGTCAGCCATGACGAGATGTAAGGACCCAAACATGACTTCCTGACATACTAGGCTGTACTTCACTAATACCCCCCCGAAAACTCAAACATATTTCAACTGAGAACACTGAAAAAAAAAAAAAAATAAAAAATAAAATGACGTCACTGACCGAGAAACCAGCATATGGGGTGGACACTTTTCTTCAGGGATCAAGTCATAAATGTTTGTTCTTGTAGTATGTCAAACAGAATATTGTTTTTTGGATTTAAAGAGAAAAGGTTGTTTTCGTCTCAGACTAGGATTTACTTTAGCAAGTGAACTTTTTTATTGAAATTTTAAAGAAATATGCTTCTCTACTACCACAAATACATTAATGCAGCATTTTTCTGGATGTGGCTTCATGAAGCCGGAACAATGTCATTCCAGATGTTTCTGAATCAGGTTTAATGAAATTCCGGGTCCCTTACCATTACTTTGTGATTGCGTGAGCAGTCAGAAATCATTTAAATTATGTTGGAAATACATTTCAGCTAAGAAAGCAAAATTAACCCTTTGTGGAGTACATTTAAAATTTTGTTTCTAGAGAAATGTTTTGTCAGGTGGCCTAAAAATAAAATGTTTTTCATAAATACATCGCAAAGCCCAAAATTATTCATATCCCTGGCAGACTCGGGTTTAAAGTAATGTTTTGTTTTTCCGAACATGTTTCATCTGAATTGAAGCAATTATATCGTTTTGGAGCGGCCTAGTCAGAGTTCTGACTTGTCCTCAGAATCTGAGGGGGAGTTAAAGATTAGGGTGATGGCAAAGAGGCCCTGCGGCCTCAGAGATCTGGAGCTTTAAACTAGAGATAATTCATCAAAATACCAGAGGAGACATGCAAAAAGCTGGTTAGCAGTTATAGAAAGGATATTACTGCTTAATGCAAGTAGTGTTTTAAAATCGAAAATAATTTACAGCACACCATTTGAACAATTTCTTTTGTATTGATACTGCTTTTCCGTTGTTTTGTTACCTTTCGAGAGACGCCCGTCTCATTTCCGATCATTGACAAACTTCTCGGGTTGAAGGAAAATAATTTTAAATCTAAACATGCAGGAGGTGCTAATATTTTTGAGCTGTAAATCAAAAATATTATGGGTTTTTTTTAAAATCATTTTATAGAAGTTCTGAACCAGCTAAAGAATAAAGTGGGGAAAAAAGTGTTTATTTTTAGAAACATTTATCTATTCAGTCATTTTTGAAAATAACATGAAAAATCACAAGCATAATGTGTGTGATATCTTTAATTTTCTTTCTAATGTTCAAATTTCTTAATGTCTTCACGAAACAAGTGACAAGCTAAATCTTAGCTTCAATGAACACAATTTTTAGTTTTTGCTTGCAGACTGTCTAAGGTTTGAGTAAATGCATGAAATGATGTTCCTGCTATAAATTGCAATAATTCCAATGTACAAGAATGAAAAGAAAATAATTTGTGGGTTTTCTGTGAGGTCTCTCTGTATTTCTTGGTTTTGTTGGATGTTCTTGGATTGAATTTCAACATGCAGGAACCAAACACTGTAAGATGTTGCATTTAAATCCTTATTGTAAACACTTGGTTCAGTATTTTTTTGCACCAACATTTTTTGTGGTATGAATTTATTTGTGGTGCAAGTCTTTAACATTAAAATATAACATGCATTGTGGGATTTTAAGCTGTTCTATCATCTTTAAATAAAACTTGTGTTGTTCTGAATTAGAGTTACAAATGTGGCATTTTTATGTCTGTGGCTTGTCAGGCTATTAAATAGAAAATCCTATTGTGTATTTACTTGCTTTAAAAAAAGAAACCCTCTCCCAGTAAAAGTAATGATAGTTCAGCGAAACGTTACAAAAAAAGGGGGATTGAAACATGTTGCTAACATATTTTCTGATATGTCTAGATAGCAGCTCAGCGGTAAAGAAATGAAACTATTGCTCTTTTTTCTCCATATCTTAAAATATTCATGCAATCATAAACATGATTAAACTGCATCTCATATCTCAGCATTAACAGCGTAAGACATTTTCATTTGCTTAAACCCACATAGAGTCAGGAGAAGTAAAGCAGGGAGATTTAGATTAGAGATAAGTTTTATCTTTTTAGGTTTAGCTATGCAGCTCAAATCAAGTACTGGGGTTCTGCCAATAAGGAATAATGTACGTTCAGGTTGTGTTATGTGTAAAAATGCGTGCAAATGTTGCCATGTTCTTATGTAACATTTGAGAAAGTTACTTACTACTAAAAGTGACGTTTTCAGAACAAAACACACTCATAAAAAAACGGAGCCGACCAGGAAAAGGGCTCAGAGAAACCAATCCTTCCCCCTCATGTTTTCTCCCGCTCTTTCTCTGAGTGCCTCTTCGTCTTCATGTGGTGTTCAGAGCCGCTGAGGATGAGAGGCACCATCAAGACTTTTCAAGGATATGCTTAAAAACACCTAACCACATCCCAGTCTACACATGAACTCTCATGTACAAACATTTCACAAAAACACATATAGCAACCATCAGCTTCATTTTTGTTATTTCTCACAAATTTCTTCTCTTAGTTGTTTCTGCAGGCCCGCTTACAAGTGCTTCAAAAACAGTCGCACAAAACCTGGACCATCTGAACAGAGACGTTGAAAACTAACTAACTATTTCAATGCTGTAATGCTTAGCTTTAAGATTTTATTTTCAATCCACAATATTTTTAATTGTGGCTCCACAATTATTTCTGCCTCAACTCGTTCTGTATAAGAAAAGCGAAGCGCTCGACTTTAAAGTTCAGTGTGTTTGGCTCAGTGCTGTGGTCACGTCTTTTATGTCTCATTATTCTCTCTGCCACAGCTACCACAATGCCTCATCCCTTTATCTCTCTGTCTGCGTGTCTTTTTCTCACACACATACACACATGTACACACTCTCACAGGCATTGTACTGAACTGTGGGTGTCGAGCCACTTTACGGTTAGCGGTAGTTCCTGTGCTGACATCTGAAGGAGCCTCGGGGGGTGATCTGTGCGAGGGGCTGGTGAGTCGGTCTTTTCTTCATCAGATCCGACATTTTGACAGAACAGCGGCCACAACACAGATGCAGCAAATAACTTTGATAATACTTGCCTTTCATTTGCTGCTGCAGGACTACAAGACCTCTCACCCCGCCGTCGGTTTAGAGAAAGCTAGCCAGACGTGCTTGAGACCTCACGTTGCCATGGTGACGAGGCTCAATCAGTTTAGCTCTGTGGGTTGTCTTGATTGGTACTTTACCCCCACAGCCAATAGGTTTTCAGTGGTTTAACAATTAAACAAACTTTTAACAAATTGTAAAGAAAAAAGTCAGCTTTTTTTTTTTAACATATTTTCTTGTTTCATATCTAGATGTGGTGACTGGGCATGCTAGATAGCATAAATTACAGTTTCTACGCTTTTGAATTTTTCTTTTATCATTTGAGTACATCAAAAATTTTAAAACAGAACATATGAACATCATTAAAAAAATCATCATAAAACTAGTATTTTATTGAACACCTAACCAAGATTTTCTGAAATGTATCTGCAACACTACGGACTGATTAAATAAATTAAATATTATTGAAAAGTCAATTAATTTCAGGAACCTTGTCACTAAATGAAACACATTATATCAATTACACACAAATGGCTTTTTAAAATACTTTGTTTCTCTTAATTATGGTGATTTTCACTTACAGTTAATGAAAACCTGGCATTTAAAATTAGAATATTTACTTAATATACTCAATTCAAAAACACTTTTAATACAGAAATGTAGCCTTAATGAAAAGTATGTTTAATATCTGCTTACAGATGGTCAATTTTCAAAATGTACTTCTAATCAGACAAATTAGCCTCATTGGAATGCGTATTTTAATTTATTGAATATAGCTGGAAATGAACTCACAAGTGTCTCAATCGTCCAATGACTGATCCACAGCTTCCAGATCTCAATGGACTTACCTCAGAATTTTACTGGTCTTTTAAGCAGCTGACTTACATGCTGTTTTCACAGCTTCCAATCAACCTGATTACCCTGATGTTGTTTTCACACCAAATCTGTTCGGACCGCATTAAAAAGATGGTTTTAATCAGATAGTCCCCACTTTGTTGGGGCAGATGTGAAAGCTCAGCTGAACGATGGTTCAAGCCAAACAAGTGAAGTCCTGTCCAGAGGAAAACCTTGGTGCAGTTTGTTTACTGAGTGAATGCAAACTGACTATTCAACAAACTGATGTCTTGGTTAGTTGTGAAAGTGGCCAAAACAACAAGTGGACTGACACATGAATTTCCCCATTGTGGGAAAATAAAGGCTTTTTCTATTCTGCTAAGACCTTCACTCAGATTGAATAATGAAAACATCTTGATTATGTCAAATAAGACTTGGTGCCAAACACTTGAAAACGGTTAACAAAGTTCAGACTAAAAATAATGCATTGTATAAAATATTTATGTCTTTATTGACTTTGATCAGAAGATAAATGTTAAAAATGACTAGCACTAGCTTGTGTTAGCTACTTAGGTAAGAAGCTAATGCTAGCTTGAGCTTGAGTGACCACACTTGTTCTCTGGTGCAAACTAAACCTAACTCACTGATATTAACAATATTATACAAAACAATTTTACCATCCGTTTCTTATTTCCTCCTGTGGAAGAGGTTCAGCACAGTCTGGGTTTCTATGCAAAGCCTCTTCTAGCCTCTTTCACATTTTGTGATCTACTGTTTTATTAAAACACTCCCTATTGGGGATCAAGAAATAACTCAGCAGTTTTTACTGAGTAGGCGACTTCAACCCTCACAGAATCATGCAGCCTTCGTTTAGGGAGAGGACAGCCTGAAATAAAACAGAAGCTCTGGTTATCACAAGAAATTGCTGAGCACACAGTCATCTGTGGAGAAGTGCTTTGCACATCCTCAGATGAAGACATTTACGTCACATGTTTGCAACTGTTTCCGTAGCAGGCAAAACTTTTGGTTTCTCGTAGATATATGCAACCCTGTCAAACTCTGACCAGTAAGAAGACCAGTGACTATAGAGCTTTGCTTTAAGGAAGAAGATGGATATCATCTCTCAGATGCATGGCCTGCTGTTACAGACTGAAAAAGAAACAATCTTAGCAGATTAAGCAAAGTTGTTTAGAACACAGGGGATACCCTTAATATCCATCATATGCTGTATATAAGCACTGATGTTATCAACCGGTAATTCCTAATTGAATCTCATTTTGCTGCTTTGTTAGCATTTATTACTGGAAACACAAAATAAAAAATAAAAAACTGGTTATATTCATGTTGCTGTTGGATTAGATTGTTACAGCCATGTCTGCTCTCGTCTAAAAACATCGGAGATGAAAATGTGAGACCTTCATTATTCAAATGGTACGACATTCAGAGACACAGCATTAATGAGAGTTTATAAAAGCTTCACAGCCACTTTCATTTAAACTTTAATGCATCATATTATTAGTAAATGCTAATAGCATTAGTGAGATTTAAAGTTCACTTAGCTCCCCTTTTTTTTTGTCCAGACTAAATTTCTGTTTACATGGAGCTTGAATAGAGAGATGTTTTATGAATCACTTTGTTGAAGCAACTTGTAGCCTGCCTCTTAACAGGGCTGAATTTATTACAACACATTAAAAAACAAGATTTTTGATTAACTGAACAAATTGGCAACAAGTCTTTAATGAGTCTTTCTTTTCATTAGCAAATCCAACTGGCTAAAAGTGATGTTTACCTAATATCGTAATATATTCTTCTTTTCACAGTGCTTGTGTGTAAACACCCACAAGGCTACCAGCACCCAGACAAGTCCTTGTTCCTTTGCTGATGTGCGAAAACTCGAAGCATTTCTTCTTCTTGTGTTTGTTGTATCACGCTTCTCATCGATCAGCACACAAGCTTATATTCCAACCTTCTCTTAGCACGTTTTTCTTGATAGATCATCTTGTTTCAGACAGAAAAACATGCAAAAAAATCTGCAAAAAGCCTTCTCTGATCATAAACCAAACAAGAAAAAAGTGGTTATGGTTTGCAGAAATTAATTTTTGCCACTGACTTACACTATGGCTTATTTTCCCTTACAAACACACACACACACACACACGCATGCACACAGTCTCTTAGATGCACACAGGAAACACCTGTCCTGTGTGAGCTCAGTACCACAGAAACTGAGTGACACAGTAACATCACAATGTGCAGTTTCTCTGCGGAATCGGAGCACAATGTCAGTAACATTTGCCAGTATTTTGTAATGTTGCAGATTTTTCTGCTTTTATTCTTATAAATAAACTGATTTCAGGTTAAAAAGTGCTAAGGCTACAGTGGTAACATATTAATTATAGAGGACATGTAAAGTCAGCTCTGGGACAGTTGTGTCCTGGAGCTGGTAGAAAATGTACATATTTCCTACCACTTGTACATCAAATTGGAGAAAAACAAAACTAGAACAAATATGTTTTTTAACTTTTAAATTTGAAAGAAAAAGCAAAAAAAAAAAATAAAAAAATAAAAAAATGACAGACAAATATTGTTTTTACTTTAGTTTCTGAAATTTCAAACAAAAGCTTCAAGTCAGCAGAATTTCATTCAGTTAAAGAAACAACGAAACACATTAGAAGCTCAAAGTCTCCCTCAAACCACCCTCATTTTACTCTGTATTGTCTGAAGATAACATTTTAAGTTATCTAAATGTAACTTAAAACAGCAGCAGCACATGCATGCAAAATTAGCTTAAAACTAAGCTGGCAGAGCGGATTGTAGGAGGACCACTAGTTGGCCCTCCTATGTACAAAGCCTCATCCGTTTCCTCTCTTGGTTTTTATTCTTTGTTCAGCTTACATGTTTTTCTTGCTGCTCAAATTTGGTTAAATTCTAAAAGGCCACATTTAGAAATTGTAGATAATTTATTCTTGAAATGAATAAAAAAATTTTCATCACATAGTAAAATTAATCCAGCAAATATTACTTAAACTTTTTTATTTTTTTTCAAAAACAAACAAATGAATAAAATCTTAATCTGAAGACAAAGAATATAAACAAAAGTATTATTTTGAATGTTTTTGCAAGATGTCTAATAGGATCAGTGAGCTTTTCCTTTTTATATAATCTACTGACAGAAGGAAATTAAAAATCTTGTAATTGCTCAACAAATTGCAAACAGTCTTATTACACTGGAACAACTGATCATCAATTGAGAAAATACCCTCAGAGACATCTGTGTGAATATGTGTATGTGTGTGTGTGTGTGTGTGTGTGTGTGTGTTCATTTTGAATGACAGGACATAATGTCGCTAACTGTGTAACGCAATCCGGCTCTGTGTGTGTGTGTGTGTGTGTGTGTGTGTGTGTGTCGTACAGCTTGTGGTCATGTACACAAGTGGAAGAAGACGTCGGGCATCACATTTCACCTGGAGACATTGTGCAATGTGATATCAAAGTATGTGTGTGTGAGTGTGTGTGATGTCCCAGGTCCTGTTCCGCAGCAGCAATTACACATAGAGAGAGACAGATGCGATCTGCGACTAACAGCCAGCCAAGCATTCAGAGCCTCTGACAGGATGTCAGACTTCAGGAACGTTCTGCGGTCTCGTAGGGTTCTGTCTCACCGGTGCAGAACCGAGATCCAAACTGAGTGACGCTCTGGGTCTGGACCCGGCAGGTCTTGGTGACCGCTGTGCTAAATAATTGATCACGTTGCGAGAGAGGAGCAAAAAAAAAAAAAAAATGAGGAGGACAGCAGTGATGGTTTGGATAAGTCTTTTGGTGCAAGGTTAGTTTTGCAGAAAGGTTTGTCTTATTAACGATTGCCTTGCTTTTCCTCCTTTGTTGTTGTTCTAGATTCAGAAATGAAAAGGCCTCTCTAACATATTTTTTTCTATGTTTTACCTCTTCGTGTGTGCTCAGTGTCCCACGGTGCTCAGGGTCATTATGCCCGCAAGCTTCTGAATGACCTGATGGAGGACTATTCCAATGCTCTGAGACCTGTGGAGGACACAGACAAGGCCCTCA